GTAGGGAAGGTGTGATACGTAGGGGAAGAACAAAAAGGGAAAAGAAAAAAATGTGAGAGAATGAAAAGATGAAAATAAAGTGTTTGTAGATGGGGAGGGGAGGAGGGGGTGAAGGGAGGGCAGAGGTAAGGGGAAAAAATGAGAATCAAGACTTGCCATGTAAAGGTACATGATCCCAACAATGAATGTAACTGTACTGTATCCCTAAATGTACCAATAAACTCAATTAAAAAAAAAAATGAAATGTCATCTCCGTCCTCCTTCCGACAGCCAATTACTATATTTTCCCACTTAAAATACTGGTTGTATCTGTGACTGATGTGTACATGTGTGATTTATCTGTTATTAGGATTTCTTCTAAAGACTCAGCTAATCCCCAATGACTTCATTCTCAAATGCACATTTTTTTTCACATTTCAATTCAGTGTTTCTACAAAAATGAGTTAACTAAAAATTGATATGTTCATTCAGTGCAATACTTTTTCAAAGACATGATTAGTTTATGTGGTGCATTTGAAGTAAGGTGAATTAGCATCAGGACTTGTTCAAGGGGAAGTCACAACAAAACCGTTACTCTCAGAATTATGAATTACGTAGCAGAGTACATCAATGACTTTGTGCTTCCCTTACCCACTATGCATTCATACCTGACCTCTTGTGTGATATTGACTTGATTACTAAAGCCGATATTAACATTACTGTAATGGATGTATTCACACTTCACTCTCTGACTTTCATGTTAAGTGTTTAGAGATTAGAAAATGTGAAACAAAGTGCTCTATGTTTCTTCATAGACACATTCCATTTTAACTATACTTCAGAATTTAGTAGAAATTATACAAACAGGAGAGTCCACGAGAAGAGTTTTAGGAGCAAATTTCAAAGGTACTTAGTAAGTCCACAGTATCTGAAGGCCTTCCCAATAGCCATAGCATTTTCTACATCCTGTGGTATGGGCTTGGTGCCTAGGACCAGGCTGCATCTCTCTGGGCATCACCTGCTAGGTGTGAGACTTCTCCTGCCTTTGGGAGGGTGGAGACTGGTAAAGTGTGTGCCGTCAAGATGGAAGTCAATGAACATGAGTTCTCTCCCCTGAAGGAAGCAGTAGGCATCCTGACCAAAGAGACAGAACTGCAGTCTGTAGGCAGAACAGGACATGATTTTTCACATTGCAGTTTCAGGGAAGGCCATGTGATAGTGAGAGTCTGGAAGACTCATTTATAAAGCTAAATTCATAGATTCCATGTATAATTAGAGAATGTCAAAAATTAGCATATTACAGACAGTGTTCAGGAAAGAGAAATAAAGATGCATCCTGAAACATAATTTATTTCAAAAAATGTGAAACATTAAATGGTGCATTATATAGAGTACATTAAATAAGCATTCAACAAGTAAAACCTATCATAAATTTGAGGACATTTAAAACATTACACAATTATGTTTAAATCATAAATTTAAAATAATTTTAACTGAAGGGTGATAATTGGAAGTTATAACAAAGCCTAATTGTCAAAACCAAGGAAGCACAATGAAAAATCCAAAATAATAAAGCATTGACAAAATACCGAGTAAGACAGGAAAGATGAATGCTTAGCAAGAACGAGAAGCTAACAAAATTCTCCTATATTTAGAATGTCAGGACCAGAACAAAACTCACTGAAGGCATAAGAGAAAAACCTTCATAATTTCTGTAACAAAAGCTATAAATTAAAGGAGTATAGGAAATTATTTCCTTTCCATGAAACTCACAACCTAAGATCACTGAAGAAGGAAATCGGGATCTAATGACGTCTACAGAACGGTTACCCTGAGCAGGGGAAGCATTTTGGTGGGAATGTGGCTACTCCGTCAACTTGAGTATCTTTCTATAGTACCCTTCTTGCCTTCCCTAGGACTTTAAATAGAGCTGATTGAATGTCGCTGTTCCTCAAACAGTAGATGATAGGATTCAACGCCGCAGGTGCCACAGTGTAGAATGCAGAGCACAGCAAGTCAAGAAAAGGAAGTGAATTGGTTGCAGGCTTTAAATAAGCAGCAGCACCTGTGAAGAGAAAGGTGCCCACGACAACCAGATGGGGAATGCAGGTGGAGAAGGCTTTGGACCGGTTCTGTTTGGATGACATCTTCAACACGGTAGAGAAAATGAACACATAGGAGACCAAGATGCAAACAAAGCATGAGAACCCATAGAGGACCCCGAGGCCCACACTGACACTGACAGCAGCATGATCCTGAGAACAAGTAAGCTCAAGAAGGGCAGGGACGTCACAGAAAAACTGGTGAATCCTGATGGAGCCACAGAACTCCAGGGAGAACGTCCCAGCTGAGTACAAGATGCCCAGGGCCCCTCCACTGAGCCAGGACACAGCCATCAACTGGACACAGCACCTTTTGCTCATGACAGCCTCATAGTGCAGAGGGTGACAGATGGCGACATAGCGATCATAGGACATGGCAGTGAGGATTCCCACCTCCAAAGCTGTTAACATGATCACAAAGAAGAGCTGACAAACACATTCCAAGAAAGAGATGGAGTCTGTGAGGGTGATGGAGTTGAGAATATATTTGGGGACTGTGGTAGAAATGAGGCAGAGGTCCAGGAAGGACAAATGCCTGAGGAAGAAGTACATGGGGGTGTGGAGGTGGTGGTCAAGAACTGTGAGGAGGACGATGGTCAGATTCTCCAGCGTGGACACCAGGTAGACAAGGGAGAAGAGCGCAGCCTGCAGCCCCAACAACACCGTGCTGTCCGTCAGTCTCAGGAGCAAGAACCCCCACAGATGTGTATTATTCTTCATATTATAAAGTCTTGAAGCACCTTTTGAGTCTAAAAGAAACATAATGAGTTAAAAACATCGCATTCCAGGGATCCAAGCAAGCCCATATGTGCAGCCTCACAGTTTTTTATTGATCAGTGCTGGGAGGGGCCTCTGTGTCCACCAACCAATGAAGGGACAGAACATGAGGCATTGAGATTCAGTGGAACACTATTTCAGTATCCTCAGGGAAAGATAAGCTTGAGACCTTTGGTAGGAATGTGGGTGCAGCTGGAGTCTGTGATGTTATGTTAACTGAAGTAAATCAGAAACACAACTTAAAGATCACTTAGTTTCTCTTCCATGATGAACTCAACATATAAATAAAGATCAAATAAAAAATATAGCAGGAAACAGAGAAATCTTTTGTAAAGGGAAGGAGACAAAGAGATGGAGGGATGTATGAGAGTAGAAAGAATTGAGATGTGTTATGTAATCTGCCATTGCTCACTGTGAATGTAGTCATCAGGCACTGCAAACAGGCACTAAGACAAAGAAACACTGACGTTCTCCCAGCACATCACCTGTCATGTGTCTTGCCATTTTTGAGACATCCATAGACTAGAATCATAAGTTAAAGTGAAAGTTTAAAAATGAAAAAAAAATATTTGACTAAGTTATAAAACAATGATGGATATAGCACTCTAATGTGATTCAGATAACAATTATTTTGAAAGTATAAATATTCTACATACCTCCAAAATAATGTGAAATTTCTTGTGATTATTTCATTACCATCAAGATTTAGAGGGTTGGCTGTGTAATAATACCCAGGAATAGGGTATAGGGTGCACCTTTTCACATATGAGTATTATCCTTCTGGATTACAAGTCCTGGGTGAAACATCTGCTGGCTGCCTATGCAATATGTAAACCAGGCATTAATTGGGCCATCAGTTGGTTCAGCTCTTTGAAGGGGAACCTAAGGACATTTTTCTCTATGAGAGGATATTCCACAACCTTGAAAATTTAGTAATCTTTTGATTTAAAAGAAACATATGAAAAGAAAAAAGTAAAAATAAAACCTAAAACACTTATCATTATAAAGTGATACCACAATTAACTATTCATGTCCCTTTCACAAAACATTAAGATCTTTCCCATTATATTCATAGAATATTTAATTTTTTGGTGTAGATGTTATCGTAGCATCTATTATTGTCACTTTAGTGAAATTACTTAGCATAGCACAGAGCACTGAAACCACTTGAGCAGTTGTGAAAATTTGATTTTTAAATACACAGTGCCATTGTGCATTAAAGAGCAAAGCATGAGACTAATGCAGATAATTGGGTCCATGTTCTGGGAGGATTCTCTCCACACTGAACCATTCTGTGCTGGAGACCAGGACACAGGGGAGAG